TTGGAAAGAAATGAGCCATGCTAACGATGATCCCAGCCTGAGGAAGAATCTGATTCTTAAATATTCAAATTTATGATCTCGATTGAGATACAATAATGTGTCTTTTGCCCCGTCGTAATGTACATAATGTATCAAAATCCTTCACAAAAGCGTAATGATAGATTTCGAGGAGGGGAATTATCATGAATTGCAGTTTCTTCCTCTTGTTTCTTCCGCAATGTGCGCATCTCTTCATGAGTTGATTTAAATGCCATGCTGGGGCGACTGTTCTACTGAATAACTACTGGTGCTATAGTTGTGTTAGATTCAAGATTGGGGAGCAAGTTGGGGTAATAAAAAGTTTTTTGACTGTCTAGTATCGGAATTGTATGAACCATCCATGATTGCTGGTGGAAAGTCAATCCACAAAGTTCAAGTGAGAGTCGTACTCTAGGAGCCAAACTTAAGTGTCACACCTGCCAAGGTATCCATAAAATCTAGGAAGAGCAATTACTAGTCAGTGGTAGACTATATAGAAGGAGCGACTGAACCCCAGTGTTTGTTGATGTATATTTCACACCTTCACTTTTGCACTCTTACCCAAACATCATCAGAATTATTATCTTTGGCATTGAATCATTACTGTAATAAGTGCATCGTAAGTTGAGAATTCCATACCACGTTGAAAACTATTCCTAACCTGAATGGACAGGCTCATTCATAAATATCGCTCCAATGATCATGGCAGCTCGCCGGGAGAAACGGAAGCTGGCCAAGAATCCACCAGTCACGAAATATAATTTGGATCCAACTACTCCAGTCCATCGACAATCACTTGCAACTACTGCCCCTGCTCCTGCTATAGTTGAAGCCAGGCAGCCCGCTGTCACTCCTCAATTGCGTTATGCCATTCCCGATCAACCACAAAGATCGGAGCTATCTATGAAGAGGAACAAGTCTGAACATAAAGGACAGAGTGATTGGATGGTTCCGTTCTGCCATCATCCCGAGGGTGATCACAAAACTGCCTTGGAGGGATTATTTGTTCCTTGTCTTTTATATGGAAAAACTCACTGGCGATTGAAGAATGTGGCTCTTGGTCGAGATCCGCATAATTTCAAGTCTTCTGATGGTTGCAACTCGATGTGTTGGATCCATGGTGCTTTGACAGCTGCTTGTTGTCTGTCGAGTAAGTACATACTCCGGTCAATATTCATCATTTCTCTTTTAACCAACAAAAATAGTTGGTCTTACTCTTATACAACGTGCCCGGATTCGCGCCCAGTACAGAATTTTAGGGTCTATGGGGAATGATGTTATCAAGTCATGTTTCTGTGGTCCATGTGTTATGATGCAACATGATCGAGAGGTCCGGGCTAGAGAAGGTGCTTCGGGGCTAGCGAGATTCCCCAATGAAGCACAAATGTCTTGGAAACAACCCAAATTATCACAGCCAATGAGATATGTCTCGCAAAAAGCACCTTCGGCCGAAAATCCTGGCATAGAAAACAGGATATTCAATCAAGGAAGGCGTTATACAAATTCTGAGCTTCAAGAGGTCCCTGCAGTAGCTTTGAGTGGCAGTGAATATAGCTGTCAGGGTTCGAATTACCAGAGCACCGCTCAACATTGTGAGATGGATGAACTGAAGGATCATGTGCTTATGGAACCGCACAGGAGGGCTATCAACTCCAGTAATGCCGGTGCCGCTGTTGACGGTACTACATCTTCAAAACAGAAAACTCGAGTAAGTTCAGAGAGACTCAGTCTAGGTAGTATTGCCAGCTGTAGTACGTTTGCTATTGAGCCAGATTCTCCTAGTCCCTCAGTTCACGGAACTTATTTACGAGTCAAAGGTTGCGAGAAACTCTCTAGAATGCCAGCAAGAGGAAATCTTTCTTACGTTCATGACTTCTCTGATTACTCCGCTACCAAGATTGTATTGGATCATTATGCTAAGGAAGAGAAGCGTTTGCAGGAGAAAGGAACCGTCCGTTGTCCCGCTCACTTTGGTGAAGACAAAGAAAATCTTCTGCTGCCGTTCTCGGATGATCCTGTTGTACCATCTACCACATCCTCTAGTTCAAGCACGGTTCGGCAGCATACCTTTAAAGAAGATGTTGTTGGAATGCCGCTTTCTGAACTTGCCAACCCGCGTCGTATCGATAGCTGCGCTGAATCAGTGGACTCTGCTTGGTTATTAGATATGCCAATACAACATCGAATTTCAAGTTGTTCCATTATGCCTAGGAATCCATCTAGTATCCAAAGGTCAATAAGACAACACCGAATAGCAAGCTGTCCTGCTACACCTGGTACCCCGGTTATTAGAACCCCCGAAAGCTCTGCAGAGAAGAATCGCATGCTGAGTTGCACCGTCGAGACCGCACCCCCATCAACCTCACCTTCTCCAGTTATGCAAAACAATTACTCACCATCTATCATGGATATCGTGGATGATTCCAACATCTCAACTCCTCTTATTCAATACTCACAATACGGTCATCTTTTGGACGATAGTACTCTTGAATCTGGCTCGCCCATCTCTAGATTAACATCGAAATCTCGAGCTTTCAGTTGTACGGCGATTAACCCTGTTTCTCGTGAGCAACACTCCTTGGAGGGTTGCTCTGATCTTGCTGGTGATTGTGGTCCTGTTACGATCAGACAGCACCGTATATCGAGCTGTTGTGCTTCGGTTCCTTCTGGTAGTATGAATCAAAGCAATGGAGATAGATCTCATAGGTTAGAAGACTGTAGCTTTACGACTGGATCCTCTACACCTGTTCTCACTAAGCCGTATAGATTTGCAAGCTATGCGGCTGATAGTCCTCAATCTAGTCATAAAAGCTCAGTGGTGATGGCTCACTTAATGGAAGATGGATGTCTACTTTCTGGAATTGCAAGTCCTGTCAAACAGCATCGTATTGCAAGTTGCGGTGGTAATGCCAGTGGTGGAAATTCGACAAATACAAAGAACGAGAACGGCTATATGTCATCGGGCTCATCGACTCCCAACCCACGCCAGCATCGGGCCGTGAGCTGCATCGCTTCTACCATCATCTCGGAGTGCGACGAGCATTTACTTGATGATTGCGAGTATGATTCCAAAATTAGCAGCCCACTTTTGCAACACAATGAGATAGACTGCGGTGTAACTTCTGCGTCGGAAAAAGAACAGGAACACTTACTAGAAAATTGTGCGGTAGATTCTGGCCCTTCCACTCCTCTCCGACAGCACAGAATTTCAAGTTGCGTCATCTCTAGCCCCTCAAGCAACAGAAATTCAGTGGTAAAACAGCACAGAGCTTCTAGTTGCCCCTCTATCATACCGGCTGAGGGTAGTCAACCGAACAGCATATCTCATGATTCTCTTCGACTTCCTCGTGGATGGCTCGTCGATACCAGTGATAATGATCAATCAACCCACACAAATTACGAGGATTGTCTACATACTCTGGATGACTGTATCACTCCAGCCGACAGAGTGAAGATGGAAGCTAGTGCAAGCCGGGACACTGAATATGAAAAATATAGCACAAGGATTGCTCAACATTTCAACGACCAAAGCTCAGAGTTTAATGAAAAGTCCACTATCGGAAAAGAAGGGAGTCGGAGACCTAGACTTAACGATTTTGCTTCACACGAAAGCGATGCTCGATTCACACTTGCCCAAGTTCTTGCTTTAGATCAAGAAAGTCACTTTATCGGTGTGACCCCAATGGACGGAGATGGAACCATGAGCATGGCCAGCCGAAAAGGCAGCGTAGCACCGCCAGCACCATTTCCATCACCCGCTGCACCTTATCCCTCGCCCATCACGCCGTTGAATATTTCTGGCGCCTATCCGCCATCTATCACGCCTTCGAGCCTGAGGAAAGATAAGAGGAGATTTCCTTCGGACCAAAGTTCGGCTGGGAGTGGGTTTGCTAGTTACTTTGGATTCGGTAGCTCGAAGAAGACGTCATCAGGGTTGTGAGTGGCCACTGTTGGTCTTTTAGAGATTGCAACGGCGCTGACATGCTTATAAGAATCGATGACGTTGGTGGTAATACCGGTAGAAGAATTGAGAGTGGAAGTGCAAGTAGGGTTAGAAGTATGCGGTTGGGGGCTGTTGAACAGGTACCAGTTGAGGAATTAGAGCTGGAGGAGTTTTTGAGCTAAGACGATTCGGAGATTGGAAGAATTGGATGGGATCATATTGTTAAGTGCGTATGGGGAGGATTATCGTTATTAGTAGTGGTGCTATAGGTGATATTATTGGTGATGGGGATGTATATAATATCAATTCCGTTACATTCTTTTGTGGGTTCCCAAAATGCCATTCATACATACATACATAGCTTTGAATCCGCAAAATTGGATTTGAATACTAGAGTAGAGATGACAGAAAGAAAAAGCATACTTTAATAAATTCATTCGTTATCATAATAACCTTTGCCGGGCTCACTTGGGCAGTAGAAGATTTGGAAAGTGGATACATGGAATGCGTGTACACAAGGAGGCTGGTAATTTATAGAGGAGTTGGAAAATTCCAAGAAAGAACTTATGCACGACATACATACACACGCAGTCCAGACCCATCTGCAGGTCACACAAGCATATGCCCTGCATCGTACTCCATATATACCCCATAATCTAGAGAATCCGTCCCGCAATCACAATCATTACATGTAGGTAGGTACATACCTCATATTCGCAGTCATATTCAAATTCATATTCATCTCACTTGACTATCACCTCAAAAACAGTCGCCCAAGATATATTTTGCAAGTTTTTGCTTGCTTCACTCGCTACTGACCGACTGACTGACTGACTGTATGGATGGATGGATTCATTCTAACATGAACACGAAGATTTTCTTATTACATTTAAAAATTTTGATTTCTTGCCTCCCTCCCGCCCTTCCTGCCTGCATGCCTGCCCGTCTGTGTCTGTGTCTGTCTCTATGAAACCAATGAATACTATGCTTCCCCTTCTCTGGTTAAGATGACTGGCAATGCAGCGAATGCAGTGCCAGATCAAGATAAGACAAGAATGGACTTTGATAGAAAGTAGGAGAGATAAAATTACAAGAATTTCTTCCCCTTTCCCTCCAATTTCCCCGCGCGCCTTGCCCGAATGCCCATTGGTTGAGATGTATGTGATGTGGAAAATTGCCAGATTTCTGAAATGATCCGGTGTGATGTGGTATGTGAAGATTTCTTCGACTTTCCTATGTTGACGGTTTTGTGTTTTCCTCCTTTGCATTGTGCATTTCGATTGGAATTGTGGGAGATGTTGATGTTGGTATTGGGTAGTGGGTAGTTTTTAAGTGAAGTTTACACAATGTAGAAGGAAAATGAATGATGGTCGCGAAATCGAGGATTGAGGTTGATGGAGAGATTGTTGGGGGCGTAAAGAAATAAGGTATTCGATTCAAATCGTAAGATTATAACAGCGATTTAACCGACGGATTGGTAAAGGAGAAGAGGTTCGCCAACATTTTCGATTTCGGGGATTGTGCATTTGAGGTCGAAGGCTTTTGAGAGGACAATCTTGAAAATCTGCAATTGGGTGGTTTGTTAGTTGAAGGTTTGGTATATAAGCAGTATGGCGTAAACCGCAAGCAAGTATGTAAGAATGAAATGTAGATGGCTTTACCTTTTGAACGTTGATGCTATGGCTTGTACTACTAAAAATCAGACTTGCGCGCATTGCTTTTGCGAATCTTCGAGCCTAATGTTGCATCTGTTAGCACGCCTCAAAACGAAACAAAATCGAAGAATTGGTAAAACTAACCTGATTTGAGATCTCCTCTTGATCCTCTCTCGGAAAGTTCACAAAATGATCGTATTTTGTGCCGACCAGGAATGGAATCGCGGTCTTGTTAAAACCTCTCCCCTGCCTATACCACTCCTTAATACTATTCAAAGTACTCTTTCGCGTCAAGTCAAACATGAATAATATAGCTACTGCATCGTTGCAAACGAGCGGTAACATGTTCACGAACTCTCTCTGTCCTCCCAAATCCCATATTGAAAATGTAATCTCAGTATTGCGTATAGATATAGTTTTCTCCATGAAGTTAACACCCAAGGTTTGAATGTAATCTTCGTCCCAACTACCTTCTACATATTTGACCATTAAGGAGGTTTTGCCAATTTGAGCATCCCCTACCATGCCGACTTTGATGACGACACTATTCTTCGAGCCCCGTTGTTGCTGCTGTTGCTGATCTGTACTCGCACCTGAACCCCGTGAATTTTGTTCTTGGTATGCGTTGCCATAGTTGCCTTGACCTGACAAACCCGAAGCCGGGCGCGAAAGTGACGCGGGAAAAGTTGTGGGAGGGGTAGCATATCGACCATTTGTAGGTTCTTCTTGTGGAGGTGACGCAGGATATTCTTGTGGATATTGTGATGGGGTTTGGAAATCTGCAGATGCAGACGCAGAGTGTCGACTGTTATGCGTTGGCGTATGTGCTCTCTCCTCCATTCCGCCCATAGCATCGTCTTGGGGTGGGTCGACTCCCTGATTCTCGTATGCGATTTCGGCGTCCATCGAATCTACTGCGTCGTGAAATTGAGCGGGAGAGCTCACTGGTAAAGTAGTAGGATCCAGGTTGACTGATTTATGGGTAACTATAGAGATGAATGAATGTGAAAGGTTACCTATGATTCTTTATAAGGGTGAGATCTCGAATTGGCGGCTGGAAGAAGGAGATCAACACTGGGATGTTATGGTAGATCATTCACGGCTGATTGTAGAGTAGTGTAGTGTAGGTAGTGTAATGTAGTGTAGTGTGCAAGTTATTTTGGTATCAAAAATTGTTGACGAATCTATAACCGCCGTAGATGAAAGCCACCACGATGAAAGTCAAGATATGAATGACTAATGAGATTCACGGAGAGATTTGAATTGTATTTTGGTTTGGACGATTGAAGTTATACCTCATGAGAAATATCCAGGGGGTTTCTTACAAGCTTGGTACAAGGCAAGAAGACAAGGCAAGGCAAATAATTGTCATGCGGTGGTTCGGCGCTTGGGCGTGCGAAAGGCAACTCGGGCAGGTCGACCAGAGACACTTTACTCCGTAATGAAGGTATCTAGGTCGCTATAAGGAGGTAGGTATTCCCTTTTATGCGACGCGTCTTCCTCTGAGAGTTCTTTGGGTTTGTCGTTGATGTGAGAAAAGGAGGAAAATAAACATTGATATTGTCATCAAAGTATTGAAGGAGAAGAAGGAAAAAGACGTTATTCCTAGGTACACTTCGACCAGTACATACTTTGTCTTCACATTGGGAAAGCTATAGAGTCTATGTATTTATATTGTGTTTGTTTTTAGTTTGTGTTTGTTATTGTTTTTGTTATTGTTTTTGTTTGTATTTGTATTTGTATTTGTATTTGTGTTGAATATAAAGACATTTTATACATTATATAGAAACACATATAGAAACACATATAGAAACATATATACATATTATTAGCCAATTGATATTCTTGCTCCTATTGATATTTGGTTTCCTTTTCCTCAGGTGGGGGTTTCATTCAATTCAATAGCTCGCCATTGGGTTCCCTCGTTGTCCTCCCTGTCTTTGGAGACAGAGACAGAGACAGAGACGAGAGACCGCCTGGATTTTTGTCGGCTTTATTTTGGGACATTTCTCTGATTGGCTCAATCTCCTTCTGATCCATACCAACAATCCTCTCTTTTATTATCTCACACCTCTCTTTCACTCTATTGATAATTGAATTAATGATTCCTGGACTAAAGCTCAACTCCACCCCAAAATTCTACCCCTCTTAACACCATCTACATATACGATAATGGCATCAATCGCAAGGAGTTTAAGGCCATGCGCCTCAAAAATCACATCCAGCACATTTAAGACGGTTCCATCATGGAGATCCTCATCTTTTGGAGCTCTTCGAGCTTTCTCAGTGTCTAGAGCTGGTGAGTTCATCTTCTTATCCTAGGTGCTCCGACCACCGGCCTGTGTCATGTCATGGAGATTTTATGCGCAGAGCGAAGAAGTTGGGCCAATGTGGCCTACGGAGTGTGGATGAGACTTTGGAATACTCGCCTTCTTATCTACCATGGGAATATTCATTACAATCCAATTTCTGCCCATTTCATACCATCTATCCCACCAATGTTGACTGACACTTTCTCTCCCCAACCGCAGCTTTCAACAAGAAGTATACCAAAGACCACGAATGGATTCTCCTCTCGTCCGATAACAAGACTGGCACAATCGGTATCAGTGATTATGCCGCACATGCTCTCGGTGACGTCGTTTATGTTGAGCTCCCCACCGCCCCATTGGAGGTCGGCGCTGGTGATACCATTGGTGCCGTAGAATCTGTCAAGAGCGCATCTGATATCAACAGTCCCATCACCTGCAAGATTGTGCAGGCTAACCAGATGTTGGAGGAAGCACCAAGCACTATCAATAAGGGTCCCGAAGATGAAACAAGTGCCGGAGGCTGGGTTGCTAAGGTTGAAGTTGGGGAACAGGGAGTCAAGGATTTGGAAGGGTTAATGGACGAGAGTGCTTACAAGGCATTTATTGAGGAATAAGCAGCGCGATGGGAGCTAGTACATGATGAGAAATGAGGGCATGATTGCATGGACGGGCGGGGTATAGCATAGACGGGGGATTCAACTCAACATTGATCAATGTGTATTTGGGAATGGAGTTTATTCAACAAACATAAGGGTTGGAGGGGAATGACGCTGGATTAGCTACATTTATATATGTATGCAGCTTTTAGACTTGTTGGAACATATTTGAAAGCTATTGGTGGTCCAGCCAGTCAATCTATGTAAAGGAAAAGTTTACTTTTGTAGCCTATGTGTCTGTGAAAAAAGAGATCATCCGGGGCTTCAACTATGCATTACCACCCTCCTTAATGACAGGACGATTAAGGTTGATGGCCTCCAGTATTTTGGCAGCACCCTTGCTGACCAAATCTTGAGCAAGAGACCATCCAAACTCATCAGCATCTTTTGGTGTTAGGATCTCTTCCAATCTCTCTGATTCCACACTCTCTGTGCCATCAAGACTGACAACGATAGCCTTCATTAACAATTTTCCCTTTTCGATCCAGGTCGTCTCAACTCCGATCGGCACACTGCATCCACCCTCCAGAGTTCTCATCAAACTTCTTTCTGCCAACCCCGCCAATTGAGTCGGTTCGTGTTGTAGCGCAGAGATCATCGTGCTGATTTCTTCGTCGCCATCTCTAACCTCAAGAGCCAATGCACCTTGTCCCACAGCATGCAACATACCGCCACCCTCTGTTTTACTATCCAGATACTGCGTGATCCTCTCTCCCCAACCCATTCTTAACAAACCCGCCGCAGCTAAAATCAAACATGAATACTTCCCATCATCCGCATCCAACTTATTCAACCTAGTTCCAATGTTGCCCCTCGCGTTCTCAAACTTTAACTCGGGGTACTTCCTAGCAATCTGTGCGCTTCTTCTCACACTACTCGTTCCTACAACGCTTCCGGCTGGCAGCTCTGACAAGCTCTTATAGTTGCTTCCTGCCTTCATAATCAACGCATCCCGAGGGTCCTCTCGTTCAAGAATTGCACCAATTATACATTTAGTCGGTAACTGCGTCGGCATATCTTTAAGACAGTGAACCACAATATCCAACTTCCTGTCCAACAATAAAGCCTCAAGTTCATGTGTCCATAAACTCTTTGCGCCGAAATCATGCAGAGCAGTTACTTGATTCTTGTCGCCCATTGTTTCCAATTTGGTTATCTCAAAGTTTAAATAGGGATGAGCTTTTTCGAGCGCAGCCTTTACTTGCTCGGTTTGCACCATGGCGAGTGCGGATTTGCGTGTGCCAATGTGAATAGTGGCTGGCTTTTCATTTTGGGATGTCTCGCGTTGGGATTGGTGATCAAGAGCGCGGAGGGGTGCAGCGTCTTTGGAGGACTTTTCTTGGGTACTGGTAGTGGGGTCGAGAACGGAGCGGGAGGATGTAGACTCTTTTTGTTCGTGAGTTGCCATTTTGAATCGGTTGTGAATTGAAAGTTACCGGAGCTTTCAATTTGGATCTGGGGTATAGGTGTATTGGAGTCGGAAGGTGGAAGAGCAGCTGAGTGTTGCTCCTTCATTTGGGGGGGTATTTCTGTGAGCTCACAATCCACTAAACCCCTCTATTGACAGGGGTAACGGTTCCACAACCGTATGTATCTTGTTCAAGTGAGATTCGCTGGGAAACACAAACATAAAACCACAACCACAATCGCAACCACAATCAACCATCACTTGTGCTGTATTCACCACTCTTGGATAACTGAGTCGAGAACTGATGAATAAAGGACAATTGTTCTACTCGATACAATATGAAACAAATCATTCCTTGACGCACCCCACTCAAGCCATGTCTAAAAAGGGAGAATCAGATTCAACAATGATCAGTCCGACACACAGGTCATGAATCTCACATAATTCTTTTACTAAAAATTGGAAGCTATCTATGCTTAAACAATGAAAGACGCAGTGTTTGAAGTCAGACCTGCTATTTGTATTGACTAGATTTTGCTAAGACGCAAATGTTGAAGCACCAAAACAATCACCCTTCACTGATTCTCATGTCTATCACACCCTTTCATTCTTTCCTACGATTCTTCTGTAATCTTCTTCGCAATTTCCAAGACACTCTCCAACTCTCTTACATCCGCGCGGCCTAGACCGCACTCTGTTGCGATACCAAAATCTGCCACAACTTCACTCGCCGATTTAATTCTTAATTTCGTTCCCTCAAGGTCATCCTGATGTAAGACACCCAAATACAACTCTGTATCATTCTTCTCCAAGTTTTTCAATGGTTCAAAGTACCCTCGATCAATTCGATCTTTTGGTACAGGCATATGAATCCAATTGACAGGTCTTCTCCTTCTTGTTCCAGTCAGGACTCGATTCGCAATATCGACTAATAAGCTCATATCTTTCGGTTGCGTGAAGTGTTGATGTCCAAGATCACCGTAGCAGAAATGGAAACCCAGTTCGACGGATGGATCTATAGCATCTGCTAGTTCGAGGACACGGTTGACAATACTGTCTTTCAGAGCCATGATCCACTAAAACATCGACTTAGTACTCGTTTAGGACGTTGAAATATGAATGACAGAGATGCCACTAAGTTCATTAATACTTACGTGCGGTGGAGGCGATACAATCCCTTCCAGAAATGCGAACTCCACAGCAACGTCCCATTGTATAGCCAAATCTTTTGCGGGAATCTCATCTTGGATGCGACGAACAGCTTTTAGTAGAGCCTTTGCATAAACTGGCTCAATTGCTTCTTGATAAGCTGGCTCTATTGCTACGTGAAGAACATTGATAGGTGTAGGAAGCGAAACCTGGAATTTCACTCCGTTCGGGATAGTGCCACCATCCCGAAGTCGACAAAAAGTAGCATACGAGTCTATGGCAGCATCATCATATCCAACAGGCATGAGTTGGATCTTCTCAGGAGAAATGGGAATCGGGCCTGGATCCTTGGCCAGGGAGAAATACAAAGAGCGAACCAGATAAGGGTATTTATAGAACACGCTTCTTTGCCAGAGGACGAAGTTCCCTCGGTTACCGGGCTCACCATCGGGGATGCGCTTTAGTTGGGTTGGAAATGTAGCATTGAGTGTACGGTAAACCGTGGGTGTGTCAGGGAGACAGATACTCCCCACGAAGTGCACATTCTTGCCGGAAGGCGATGCCATATCGAAAGGTTCGCAATTAGTGCTACGTAGGATAAAGTGTCCAGGAAAGGGATTATGATATGAGAGAGCACAAGAAACACAGGTAAGGGAAGCCGAGCTGGCTGTATGATTTGGAAAGAAAAGGATTGATACAGTGATATCGTCTCAAGCTGCACGACAAGAGCCTCTTATATAAATTACTTTACATTCAAAATCTACCATGAATACTTTATTTGGGAAGCGAAGGAATACAGCTACACCAGTACAATGTGAGTTGAAATACAACAATTCAATTGGCAGTTCAGCAGCATAGTTACATTGAAAAATTGTACTACTCTAAGAAAAAGCCCCTCGGTTCACGCTTCTTTCGCTCAATTTTGCAAGCTGAGCTTTATGAACAAGGATCTAGAGAGGAATCTCCAGCATAGAGTGACTGGAAAAATTCGTTGACATTGAATGGCACTGAAGGATTTCACTTCGTCAGCGTTTACACAGACCACGAGTTCTCCAATCAGCCTCATAGACATGACTTCAAACGTCACATATGGATCCACCAACATGGCACCAAATTTCAGCTCTGCAGCGAATTTACTGAAGAGTGGAAAATTCGTTGATTAGGCATACTAGGTATGTTATATGCATGCCCGAGCCTTCTTCTCTTTGCAGATTGTGATAACTGAGCATAGGGTAAATAGTAAGATCGGGGTGATATGTTAAGGGACAAGAGATCGGAAATGGGCAATTTACGGGTTTTCATAACTGTTGGTGGCGGGGGGCTTGGCGTTGGCGTGATGTTGGTGCTGATGCGGAATTAGGAGACTCCAAACGATTTTCCAAAAAAACAAAAAAAAAGGGATTCGTGGGGCAAGCATAATATTTGGGGGCTAGGTGTAGGAGCTGCTTTTTAGTCGCCGTTCAAGCTTGAGGTTTGAAGGGCTGTTGGTCGAAATCTGGTAATGTTAATGTTAATGTTGATGTTTTGTTTTCTTTTGTTCTGTTTTGCTTTGTTTTGTTTACTTTGGATGCCGAATTCAAATATTCCAATACAGCACATAGTCAGACTATCGGTTCTGAGAAATGGGATGTGAGGGATACAGAGACTAGATGAAGTGTAGGAGACAATCAAAATTTTAGAGGGGTCATATATCGCTTGTCAGGCTCCCCATACATACCGCGAAGAAACGACGATAAATCATGCATAAATTCGTTGTAATACGTCAGGGGAGGAAGTGAGCCTTCAAATACCACTCTACATACAAGTTGTATGGAGAGAAGTAGCAAGCGAAGAGTAAGGACGTGGAGTGGAGAAATAAGATAAATGCTGGTGCGGCACAAGCGCTACCTGGTTACTGAAGTTTTCTTGGATATAAGCGCAATGTGATACGAAGATGCGAACGCGGTGCGGTGTGTTTTATGACTCATGATTGGATGGGTCATAACATACGATGCGGCGCTGTATGAGGCATAGGCTTTGAAGAACTGTATACTTATGAATATGATTCGTGGTTTCTATGGGAAGCGGCGAGATGCGATCATGAGTTATGTAGTAGGCGGTTAAGTCATATAAGGATCGGGCGTAGAATGAAGTGGGATGAGGTGAGGAGGGGTGTGATGAGGGATGTAAGTGCAAGATCCGAATGATGTTTTGGACGTTAAGATTATTCCACCGAGCTAGGTTTCGAGGATTTGTAATTCAACAAACAAAAGTTCATGTGTAAATTTAGATCAGATTCATTTTCTCGTGCAAAATTCAAACTTTCCCTATATACAACCTATTTCTTGTCATGCGCTTGTCGTTCCATGCTACAACACCACAGTCTTGATAATTTTGTGCCGCCCCCCTTTCACCACCTTGACCTTTTTTCCCCTGACATAGTAAACTAACGCGATGAGTAAAGAAAATGCATTTAGATAGCGCTCCAAGCGAACTTGACAGAAACGCTTTGGCTAGAGGTGTAAACGGTTGCTTGGGTAGAACCGGATGGGGTGGCGGTGGCGTAGAAGGTAGATGAGCCGCCGTATGTAAGGTAGCCACCAGAGGACTGTGATGTGTTAGTTGGTTGAGATTGGAATTGGAAGGGAGAGAAGGGAGAGGAAGGAAACTTACTCCGAAGACGGTAGAGACACCGGCGCCGCAGGAAAATGTACTGCCGGAGATACCACACGTTCCCTTGGAGGACTTGAGGGTGAAACCAGTACCTAGGTTGAGAGTTAGTGGTGTTCGTTTAATGGTAGATGTAGAGTTGGGGAAAAGAGTCTTACCAGAAGCAGTGGCAGTGTATGTAGCACAAGTACCGCTAGTGTACCAGGTGCCTGCACTAATCAAGCATCCGTTATTGGTGCTTCCAACATATGCCTCCAAATAACCAGATCCAGAGAAGCTGCCAGTGCCACCAGGAGCAGTCGCAGTGGTAGTAGTGCTTCCGCCACCACCAGCAGTGGTAGTTGGGGTAGCAGAGCCGGACTTGGGAGTATACTTAATTCCGGTACTGGGGCAAGTTCCAGATTGACCGACGGGAGTAATGGGAACGAATGTTCCGGTAGCAACGGAACCGCGTACTTCGAAGGAGTACCAAATTTCATCGAGAGAGGAAGAAGTACATTGAATGGTGGCAGGGTATCCGAAACCGGCGGTAATGGCTGCTTGGATTTGAGCAGAGGTGTAGGTTTTGGTGGTGGAGGGCACGATGCCAGCATTGGCTAACCACTGTGGTGATGTTAGTTGCTTCTCTCTTTTGCTTGTGTAGAGGGCTACTTACTGTATAGGTAGGAAGAATCTTGAAAAGATCAACAGCAACGTTGAAGAAGTCTACAACTTCTGCACCAGTGGTGTAGCTGCTGTAGCAAGAAGGCTCAAGAGTACTGATACAGGTTCCGTGCTTGTTCCACTCGTGCTCCCAGAATACCTCATTGGTAGAGTCATCACTGACCCAGTAGGTGTTCATATATGAGAGCAAGGATGTTTGACCAGCAGCAGAAAGGATGTTGGTTATGCTTGAATATTCACGGCTGGTATCGCAAGTTGAATCATAGGTACCATCACAATGATCGGGCCATAAACCGTGGATTGTCCAAGAGTTGGAAGGACCTTGAATATGATTAGTTTCTGCGTTGTGAAGCGAGGTTTGGAGGGGAAAGAAAATGTGTATACCTGTGCTAGGATTGGAGTCCCAGAATTGGGTCTGAACCATTTGACCACCAGGAGTGTTGAAACAGCAAGTATTGGTACTGGAACCGCTACAACTCAATGCTGGACTCGAACATACTAAGGGAGTCGCAGCTAGACTGGCTGCACGTGCAGCTGGTGCCAGAAGCACAAATGGCAAAAGAACTTTGGAGATTGAGGAAGTCATTGTTGCACAAAGTTTCTATACCAAAGGGAAAGCGAGGGAAATCGATGCTTCTATTTCACGCAAAGAAGATTCACCACTTCCACCGAGGCCATAGATATAACATTTCCAAATTGCACTCATTCGACATGGGTGATAAGCAATCTTCACCAAAACGTGTCACACTCCATTGGTGTTGGGTTGTATTCGAGACATTTTCTAAGAGAAGAAGGTGTATAAGAAAGGAACGGCCGGAAGAAATGGTAACATTCCATGCTCATAGGTCAATTGTGATATCGAACTACGATGCTTTCAAGGTTCCTAAATAGGCTAGAAGCGATGCTTGACACTATATTGATCCCCATTTTATGCTTATCCCCTGATCGGCAGTCAAATGAAAGGACTTGATTCCCCAAACGATAAATGAAGAAAGTTAATAAGGCTAATCGATAGTCAGGTACATTACGTATTCCTACCGTCCAGCGAATGATAGATGATAGATGATAAACTTCCCTACCACTCGGTTATCATTCGCCGAGAAAATATTTTCTCTTAGAGCAACAACAGGAGGTAAGATGTTGTGCAGGCTCGAAATCCCCTGAAGATAATGATAGAAAAAGTAAAAAGTTCCTATCATCCCTTGTGATAATTCTGATGGTTGTTGTCGTGGACTCTTTAAGTAGTTTTTGGAAGGTAACCACACAGATTGCTGGGATTTATTCGTGCGACCTTCTAAAATAAGAACGCCAAGCATCCTCTCACATTTCGCTCCTCGCCGTCGTCCATCAATGATTATTATCATACTGTCGCTTCTGCGGTCCCACGATTCTACCACGATACGAAGAAATGAAGATATGAAGACGTGAAATATTGCTGGGCGGTAATTTCGGTCCCGTTAACTCTATTAAGTTATCACATGTGATATGTTTCCCTGGTTTGCAGTAAATCGGCGCGCGCCGCTGTAGATGCAGATAGATAGATCAGATTGTGGGGACACCGAGGTCTGGAGAATTGAAAGCAGGTGACCTATCATCCCGCCACGGGTGATTTCATCCGATAGACTACCAACAACTAAACAATATCGTCGTCGATTTTGCTAGTATCATCGTCGTCTGTTTTCCCAACGCTGTTGACACAATCACCGCAATCACATCAACATCGTCTTACAACATCACGACTTTGTGTCAAGTCGTATCGATTGGTCGTAATACTTTGGGACATTGCGGGATTCATTGAACATGAAAAACTCAATTGTGAGTATTGGCCCAGTTTGTGTGTCCTCATGCATCTAGTCAATATACTCGTCCAACGATTTCGGATAAAACAAAGACATGGGGCATTGGCAAGCTCTTGGTGTCGAGAACATAACTTCCTAAATAGTCTGAAGAGTGCGCGAACAATCGGTGCTATGTTGATATTGGGAGGAGGGCTTTGCGAAAGTCCAAAGATTGGATGATCAAGAATGGTGAAAGATTATTGACCTAGGTTAATCAATAACCTTCAGATTCAAACCCTCGTCCACGCGAATCATATTTTGCATCATCAAAATGTTGTCGATGCTTATGGTCATGTGTCCGTTCGCCATCCGGACAACCCAGGTATCTTTATTATGTCGGCATCGACCGCGCCAGCATTGGTCTCATCCATCTCCGACTTGGTACATTATAATGTATCCGACGGTGCTCCAGTAGATCCGAAGGCGAAGAAAGGGTACCAAGAACGGTTTATCCACAGCGAAATTTACAAGAGATTTTCAGAAATCAATTGCGTTATCCACAGTCATGCCGAGGCCGTAATACCCTACACGATGAACGGAGTCCAGATGAGACCGATATTTCACATGGCTGGGTTCTTAGGTATGATACTCTTCTGGGAATGATGCATGAATATGTATATAATGATTACTTATAGGTGACCACGTACCTAACTTTGATATCACGGAGCTATACACCTCGAACGATAGACAAGACTTCTTGGTAAACTCTGGACGGTTTGGCAGTGCCTTGGCCGAGAAATTCTCCAAGCCGGAATCAAGCACCCAAGACTATAACGTCGTCTTAATGGCAAATCACGGTTTCACGACGGTAGGATCAAGTATCAAGCAAGCCATCTACCGTGCCGTTTACACTCAAGTCAACGCGGGTCTCCAAGCAAAAGCTCTTATGCTCAGGAATGCCGAGGGAAGAGTTGCTGACCTTGGCCCTTTAAGGTTTTTGAATGCCGAACAAGCTTCTGGTTCCGAAAAATTTAACGATGACACCGCAGAAAGACCTTGGCAGTTATGGGTGCGAGAAGTTGAGGCAAGCCCTTTGTATCAAAATGAAGCAATAAAGATGGATTCCTCAGATGAGGTATGATACGGAAGATTAAGCTCTTCGCGTTTCTACTCTATGTTATTGAGATTGTGATGGGCCACAGTGCTATGGTTCATATTTGGGAAGAGGACGTAAGTTCAATTCATGCATTCGATTTCCGAGCCATTACTAGTTCAGAAAAGCTCGAAATGGCTTTGCCAACTCTTAGTCACGTAGGTACATTTGATATCTGGTTTCTAGATGTGAAAAACAACCGCGAGACTACGTCCAAACAATGTGGCGTCGACTAAAACAGAATTTCTTTCATCTCATTTCCTAAATGTCATCTTCAAACTTTGACCCCTTGAGAAGGAAAGTTCCTACTACCATTTATTCTACCTATACTTGCTTCATTTGACCGAGATTTGGATCATTTTGATGTTGATCCGCGGTTGGAACTTGAAAGAACACATATGCAGGGTTTTGCAGAATGTCAGCCAAGACTTGCGATGGAAAACGTCAAACGTTGGGGGAGATTTGTCAAAATGGAATTTCTGAGGAAACTCAATCTGTTTATAGTATGTCAAATTTTGAAATGTCTGGAGATGCAACTCGTTTCCAGAGATTTCGGGGTTTACGCTGTGACCTTTGAGGGATTCTCATACGACGCTAGAACCTGCCAAGAACTGGAATTATCAGAAAGCTAACGCCAAAAAAGCATAGCCAGACTTACCAAAGCTATTTCAAAACGTCGCCGTGACTTTGCAATCACAGCCAAGATAATTGCCTCCTCGCATTTGGTCTGTGCTGAGTCTCTCGAGAGCTTGATACCATTCCTGTGCATCGCGTTATCAGTGTCACTTGGCGTTTGACGAAATATTGGCATTCATCCCACGCGAAAAAGGTTCATAATCAAAACCTGTGAATTGTTAGCATCTCAGAATAGGAAAATCATTCGATTGGCTAGAGCCTCAATGTTAGGAACCGTGGGTGTGGTGTGGGGTTGGCCAGAGCTACATTGCACGGCCTCTGGAAATTATTGGCAACGCATATTCTGTGTGAATTCTTGATATAAGAAGTCTTGTCCTCATGCACCCAAGAGTTTTAATTCCTCAGCTGTGCTCCATTTGATTTTTCTTGATCTTTATTTACACATCTAAGCTTGACGCTCAAGATATTCGTTCACTTAATTCATCACACTACCCTTATTTCACAGCCCGTCTCAACGCAAGCACCCCTTCATAATCCACTTTCAAAATGTTGACCAACTATCTTGTTATGGCCATGATCGCCACTAGCATCTCGGCACTCCCTTTGAACATCAACCTTGGCGCCTATTCACCTGCCTTGGTAGTCGGTGATGGTGAAATATCATTCGGAGGGAAAGCAGATGTATCGAACCTCATGAACGCGCTCGAAGGAGCTGCCGTTACTGGCGCCGCAACAAACGGTGCCGCAGCGAACGGTGGTGCCGCTGCCGCCACAACCCCAACACAAGCACAAGCAGCACCAGCCGTAGCTGCCGCACCCGCCGCCGCCATTCAGGGAGCTACCGAAGACAAGACCGAAGCTCAAGTAACAGCACTTCAAGGAATGGGCAAGGAAATCGCACCCCGTGTTGTCAAGCTCGAGAGATCGGATGTAGACAGAGCCGCAAAACGCGATATCCAAACCTTGACTGCCGCTCTCAACTACGCTGCCGGTGCCATCAAGACCAGCCCCGAAGTTCAACTCGGAACCGAAGAGTCTGGTGTTGGTATTCTCGTCAAAGCTGGAGGCACCGGAAATACCGCTGCCGCTGCTGGTACTGCCGCAAAGACTAAGATGGGTAAGCGTGAGGACGGTGTTGCCGACCCTAAGATGAAGACTACTGTCACTACCATGTTTATTCGTGGTGGACCAGCTGGTTAGTTACTCCTCTCTTCATACATTCTTAATCATAGAATTAAAGCTAACATGTCAGCACAATAGTTGGACAAACAAATTCCATCTCCACAGTCCGCAACGTCGAAGATATCAACGGTTCAGCAGTCACTAAGCGTGAACCAAGCCCAGGTATTGATGGTGTTAACCTCAATATGGTCGAGGGATCAGTTGCCGAGCTCACTTTTGTGGAGACAAGGAGTGCAGATGATGAGGAATAGATTTCCCATCTCACTTTTTGTAATGAATGGATGTGAATGAGAATGGATTGGATATGTAATTTACAAGCGTCAAAAAGATTAAGAGATCATTTGTTATTATTTACGCGGCATAGTAGCTGTGAGTGTGTTCTTTTCTTCTTTTTATTTGGTTCTTATGGTGGCGTTTTCATGGCCTGGGTCAAGCTGGAAGTATACCACACAGCTCTTACATTATAATTTGAATATGAGGATGAAATCTTAGGAGGCATCAATGATGGGCAGAAAAGCAAGATGAAGCAATTCATATATATATAGATATATCAATATAAAGAGAAATTCAAATTCAAATCCATCCTCTGTTGTCACTCACTTAAATTCTGTCTCATATCGTCAACAGCTATTCTCCTCTCAAGTCCAGTTCTCAGTCTGCTCTTCCCCATTCTAGAATGAATCTAAATCACAGGGAAATTCCCACCGACGCCGTGATCTAGAAATCTAGATCTGACCCATAACTTCCAGTGTCAAAGCCAAGGTTCAAGAGCTTTGTTCCTTTCGGCAGTGCCCGCAAGCCGAGCCGTCAGTGCTCTGGCTGGCCCAACCTCTTTTGGAAACGCATGATTCCCAAATGATCGCCAAGCAAGGGTCGAAAGTTTGAAACAACGGGGTTTTCTTGGCTGGCACAATGATAACACACACTGACTATGTCTTTGGTGGCGAAAACAGGTGGGTGTTGAGATGAGGATAAGTACAAAAGGAGACTCTGGACCCTGGTAGAGCAAAAACTGACAGGTGGACATGTAGATGGAGATGTGGACTTGGGCGGAGAATTTCGAGCCGGTTGGGGGATCGGCGGATGGGGTAGATGTGATGAAGCGAGCGTAAGATGTCGGTTTCGATAATGGATTTTACCCACTCCATGTTTCTGTTTGGGGTCCTCGAAATTTGCAGGGTGCACATATCCTCGCTTTATAAAAAGCTCTTCACAGTCTGAGTAGGTATCTTGAATAATGGCATGAAAATTCTCATCACGATAAATTGAGAAAACAATTCGAATTGCTATTTCTTACGTGGGACTTTGGGAATTCTCATCTAAACGTCTCAAGGATGAAAAAGCAATATCAATATCCAATCTATATTTCAACAATGAATATCGCTCAGAGTCCTTCAGGTCTGGAAAGCTATCTATTTGAGCAGTTATTTTTTGATGGGCTACATCCATTAGATCTAACGCAGAGAATGGCATTGCTGAGTGTAAGGGTAAGACGAGGGCGATACTTTAATGGTAAACTTCTCTGAATAGCCACTCTGCAGCGTCATCGTACATTTTCCTCCCTGTTGCCATTAACTTTTCTCTTTTTACTTTATCTCTTTGCGTGCGCCCGCCAAAACTCTCAAATCCTAGATCAAAGTCAGTATCTCAATTCATACTTTCAGAGTATCAATATCTCTACTAGTTTAGACTAGCAGGCTGGATAGAAGCCTTCAAATTCCAAGTGTATTTCAACATTTCAAATCTTTTGAATGCCCAAATCGGAACCAGAAATCCAAAGTCTCTCGTTATTGAACTGCAGCCCAAACTATTGGAAAGCCTGGCTACTTCACCCTTATACTCAAGGGGTGGTCGATAAAAGAAAAGTCTGCTCAACATACCATGCTCAACACCCATAACCTTCTCCCACCTAACCCCATCCTTTTCCCAGACTGTCTCACCCTCTACCCTCTCCTTGCCTACAAGTCTCTCCGCCATAAACTCAGCATCATACCACAACATATCCAACTCACACCCCACCATACAAATTTTCTTCGGCAACATCTTTCTATCCGCATACGTTACACTAAGTCTCGGGTCACACAAATCTGTTCCAGGAGGTATATACGCGTAGTTGAACAATGGAGCCAAATCTTCCAAACCATCTTTAGTCGCATAAGAAGGTCTCGCTGCAATTGCGACTGATGGCGGCGTCACAAACCCACAAAGGGGGTAGAATGCACATACGCCCTGGATTTTGCCTTGAAGAGAGGGAGCTTGTGGAACGGCGAGGGAACAACAGCCGCCGGCGCTAAACCCGCCAATAGCTACTTTAGAGCGATCGAATGGGAGAGATTCGTCTTCGAGGATGGAGGTCACGATATCTGTTAATTCGTTAATTGGTTGAGGGAACGTTGCTTTCGGGGCTTTGGAGTAGTCTAGGGATATGACTAGAATATTGTGTTTAGAGGAGAAGTAAGAACAGAATTCGTCGTCCATGGCAGGGACACAGAAGACGAATCCTCCACCATGGACATCGAGGTAGAGGGGAAGAGGTGGGTCGCCGGATTTGTAGGTGGAGGGGATGAAGATTCTATGGGTGAGCGAGGAGTGGATGGGGTAGGTTTTAGTGAATGTAGGGAGGGTTGCTCGACCGCGTACATATGGGGATAAGAGTATCGGGATGAAGATCTTGGTAAGGGTTCTGACGAAGTGTAGTTTGAGCCAAAAAGTCACGCGTTTCCATATCGGCAGCGTTGGATGGTAGATTGGCCCTTGGGGAAGCGGAGGTGGTAGAGCCATCGTTGACTTGAAAATTGGGCTTTGGTCAGTATCTAGAGTTGTAAATACACAAGTATAGATGCAGGTGATCTTATCGTTTTATAAGTTCAAATATCGTACGATGTGTAAAGTATACGTATCAAAGCGGGTCTTTGTGGACGGCTCGATGTGGACGGGGACTATATCCATACAAATCTTTCAAAAAGTGTTACCTTCGGCAAATCTTCCTTAGACATAAAGAAACCTCACATTCATGTAAATTGAAGGCTACTAAACAATTCTACTTGGATTCAGAATAGAAATATCAATCAATTAATTAACGATCGAGTTTTGAAAAGGGTACAACTTTGATGTGCGTACCTACAATTCTGTTTGCACCAAGAATGGTCAGAACGTGCACAGGTTCGTTTCTCCCTACCCGAGTATCGGCTAAAAGGAACACTTCGGCACCTGTTGAAGTCAATTTACCAAAATCATTAATTATATTTGGATGGACGATATGATGGTAAATCTTCTAAAGGTATAGTAAGACACATAAAGAAAAATTTAAGAGAATCATAACACTATTGGATCACTTGCTACCACGCACTTCAAATTTGGTATTCACCAATCACAAGTCCATATGCAAACGCTAACCATCAACTCTAAATTCTCCCAAAAATTTGACGCCCACATCAAAAGCATAATCACAGAGCGAATAATACCATTGCAAATGAAATGGTGAACTCGGGAGTGTATACAAAGAATGAAACAAATACGAAAAAGCAACTCATTGTCCAAAATTGCTTATCTTTCCTCGTAAAATGCGGTTTTAACTTCGAAGTATGAAGGGATAGCTGTTCTAGCCGAAACCTCCAATACTTCCACAGCCCAGGTCGTGTCCAATCATCCCAATTTATACTCGATGAATTCTTCGGTAATTCATCCACTCTCCACTGCCAATAGGCCGTTAGCCTCCCCAGCGATGTGAATGGCTTTTCTCTTTCGACCCAATCACGCCAGCGCCTTATTGCATGAGTTGCAGTTGATGCATCGATTTCCAACCATTCTGTATGCCTTCTAGGTCCGCGCTGGTTGTTTTTGCAAACCTCGCATTCAAACCACTTGCGCTGGTTATAAAACTCTTCGAAGAGGATAGACTCAACTAACGCGTAATGATAGAAAGCGTCTTCGCCGTTGCCACTGGGTGATTCGGGTGAAACTATAAATACAGATTTGGAAACCTTGGAAATTGGTATTCTACATTTCGACCACTCGCGCATGCGAGTTTCTGGAGCTCTGCTTGATTGACCGATCTTTATGTGACAAGGAGCATACCTGGGAGATTCAAACGCATATATGTAACCAGCAGTAAGGTTGCAATGAGGCTTGAGTGGCCTCTGGAGAAGTGATCGTATAGCGTGATTTATTTCTCGGGTGCTTTTGCGAGCGGATCCATAAGAACAAAACTTTGGACACTGTGGTACTATCGCTGGAAGAGTAGGATACTGAACAGGCATAGAATTATAGGCATTATTGAAGCCCGAGCTTATACGCCTGTTGAAAATGGGTTCTTCTGCAACGGTCGGAAAAGTCCCAGGCATCTTCAATACCCTTTCAGCTTGGTTGTTGTCATTATTGACATCTTGATAGTCAACTTCATCATCTCCTTGACCTTCGACTCGATCTCGACCTTCATCAGCTTTGGATTGCGAAGCTATTGCTTGATATCTACATCTTGAATCCCTTGAGGTTCTTATAGGGGATTCATACAAATTTCGAGGTTGTGCAGTTGGCCACTGATCAATTGGTTCCTCGAAATCATTTGGTGGGGTGATTGGCGACGATTCACGCCTGAAAGATCTAATCGAAAATGTGCTATCAGCAGTCGACATCGTACTGACACTGGAGACCGAAGATGAAGAGGTAGGGGACTTGCCCAATATTGGTCGATCTGGTGTCTGGTAAGGATTGAGGCGTGGCCGGGACGGTAGACTGGATGGCCGGTTGGCCGAGATGGAGGGAGATCGGTTACCCGAGGAGACATGGGTCTGTGAACATCCAGGACTTGACATGATCAATCGGTCAGTGAATAATATAGTATGTGCATGTAAATTTCAGTTTCTATTGCAACATAAATTAGCTCCTCAGAGGTATTCTGTCTGCCTACTTAAATGTTTGATTTGTGGCTGGACAATGAAGGAGTATCTTCGTTCGGAGACTGATACCACGCCGTTTCTTCAATGATCAGGGGGCGCTAGCCAATAATGTGTCAGGCGTAGTCGTTGTAGGCCAATTAAATATCCGCAAATCCTTGTTGATTCGTTACAAACTCGTCAGAACCAACATATCCGGTCTGCATAGCCGAAAATATGCTGTGATTAAATGCACACTTGCGCATTTACTGAGAAAATCAGCCTCGACAATAATAGAAATTGTGGTATCATTGATTTTCCATGTCCCATTGGGCCCTTGTGATGATTCCAAAGTAGACACCTACTATGCAGTGCCAATTCAGACCACCATGATCCCTCGACGTTCAGAGCCATTCAACATAATGAGGTTATATTGTTTGAGCACGGGACGGAAACCGAAGGCCAAATATAAAAGAGCATACATCCCCATTCATTGATCAGAGGATATTGGATTGATTCTTGGACTCTGTTCTGGAGGCCATATCGCTGACCACGTCAGCTTGTTTTGGAATGTCCTACAACACGACCATGAAGTATGAGAGAGAAAAGTCGCGAACGACAAACATCAGTGTCTGCAGGTTCGAAACACAGTTCAGTGGGCGTATTCATGAGACACACCGTAAGAAGCAGACTTCAAGTGCTGTAAAAGCTCTCAAAGGTGCAGGTCTTGTAGAAGGTCGCTCAATGAGCAGATGAGAGACAGAAACGCTTCATCATCTCGCGCGAACGACTGGGGAGTAATTTCATGATCAATAATAAGGAGAGATCAGTTTCAAGAAGCTCGAGCTCATGTTATTGAGAAAGAATTAAGGCTTGAGTTCCTTAGTCACGTCACGTGCGGTGCTGGGCTGTGGCTGGTTGTGTTTCATCTTGATGCTCGCAGCTTGCAGCTTCGAGTTCTCACTCTTTCGCTGCTGCTGCTGCTGCTGCAACGCAAACTTTATCATCATTCAGTCAGAGTGAGAACATTTATGAGAGACTCGAGAATTTACTGAAAAACAACGCTTTTACTCAACATTCCATTCACAATTGAATAGCATTGACAGCAACAAAGGAATCGCCGAAATCCCTACCCAGGGTCTAGACCGTCGTCGCTCAATGTGGAAATACGTACCAAGCATTTATATGGACCCCTTTTCCTCTTTGGAATACCAAGAATCAAGAAAGTACGAAGTATAAAATTATGGACGGAAACATGTTGCTTTGACCTTGAATGCTTCCTCCACCCCATTCCTGTCGATATTACCTCGGGCTTGTAGTGCTTTAAATTAGTCACCTTGTTGTACGGAGAACTTCATTCATACTTTCAAAAACTTCGACCATCGGCGGGAGAAAACCTTTCTAAGACTATTCCAGCATCATACAATTAACTTTTCGAATGAGATGCATGATATTCCAAGAAAGTGACTTACGATGTTTCTGGAATCACCTCGCATGTAACCATGTGTAATTTCGACCCAGACTTGGCCTCATGACCCGAGAGTAACCAAGGGGTTGAGCTTTTCGACGAGTATGCTAACAATACAGTCCTTCTCGTCTGTCAGTTATCCGCTGCCAAAGATCGTATTCGGAGATCAAATCCCGGGTGCTCAACATTTCTCTGCCGTTAAAACAACTGTACTCGGAAGAATCGGCCTTGAAAATCTCAAAACGGTTGACATTCCCATCGTTGTACAGACTCTCCGTGATGATTTATCTGAAGCAATAGCTGCGCCACTATAGGTCACGATGCTTACCTTTTTCTGCACAATCGGTAATTATTCCATCTTGGCAACTTGCCATCCTTCCCTTCCCCCACTCAAGGTCCAATCCCACGGGGTGTCAGATAACGATACATGTATGGCGGTGCATGTGCTGTGGTACCAGTAGTACTGCTGTAGTGCAGCGTCGGTACCGATCGGAGAATTTCTATCTGCATATCTGGGGAACATACACGGCAAACAAACCAATTTATTATTGTCGGTGTATTCCACTAGAATTTATTATACTTTCAATGGGTTATGACCTGTATTTCAGTCTTTTTTCCCATGAAGTCTACGCCGAATGTTCTAGTACACTCTTGTTTACCAATTTGGGTCTTCTAGATTTCTATATCCGTATTGTTCTAAAGAGGACGGTGATGTGCCAACCACATTTCCATTTTCCTTCCAAAAAGGTCAAGTGATCTTCACGCATGTACATCGACGTGTTGAATTTCTATTTAGGCAATTTGTCGAAGATAATATACGTACTCAGGGTCCTCTGTTTCCGACACCAATGCCTATATCATTGGTGCGCAAGCTTTTGTCCTCCATCCAGTCTAGAGATAACTCCTCACATGTCTTGGCGGACATTTGGAATTTTCCATCATACAAGAGATTTTCCCGCTACCACATAGTGCCGAACCCATATCTTGGCATCAACTTGGCACTCTGTATTGGGAGTTTGATCCGGTGTAGTTGGCGCTTGTATCATGCAGGCATAAGACGCCGGTGACATTGCCTTCATTATACGCTCCAGGAACCACCGGCGAGGAACTCAATGCCAATATTTACAGGGTCTGCCAGAGCGCCGAGCACCGTTGAGGTATAGGCTTACTTAGCCCTGACTGTCAGATTCCCCATTCATTAACATCCGGCATACAGACGGTCCTGCATTTCAATATGGAAGATTAACGGTAAAGATTATCCACCAGGCATCGTGATTTCCTTGGTGCTACGATATTCTGGAATAGGAGAGAGCTCCATCTCATCTGTTAATGCGGGGCAGCAGGATCAACAGTATATAAAGAGATGTTCCTCCAGATAACAAAATCTAAATACAAAACATTGCAACCAATTCCTAGATTGTCAAGTCAACGTTCCATAATATCACTCTCAGCACAATCATGCATTCTCTCTTGTTTTGGTTTACAGCCGCGCTGTTGCCTTTCGCTCATGGCGCAGGCGTTACCGGATCGGCCTCAGGTGCTGCTCACGGAGTTAGTATTCATTGGTGTACTGTTTCTGTCCTGCATACTAACCTCGTTTAGGTGACTGGTGGTGGAAGTGCTAGCCCTGTCACACCTACTACAACTGCCGAGTGAGTCAAAGTGTATACTTGACATAGGAGCCTCAACTGATTTACTTTCTTAGATTGGTCTCTTACCTTACAGACTCATCGCCACGAGTCATTCTTATCACCAAGACATTTGATTTCCGCGGTACTTTGGGAACTACCACTGCAACTGGATGCGTACCAACTAGCAATACCTGCGGATCTAGTGGACAAAATGCCATCAATGCCAATGGTTGGTGTGGATCTGCCCCCGCAACTACGGTCAGTTACGATAATGCTGGTACCACACCAATCCAGGTCAAGAGCAACAAGAGTATTGTTGGTGTAGGAAGCGCGGGTGTTATCATTGGTCGGGGACTCTATCTCTCTGGTGTTTCCAACATCATTGTTCAAAATGTTCACATTACCAACCTTAACCCTTCATTGATCTGGGGTGGTGATGCTATCACATTGGTAAGTTTTGCTTCTCGAGGGAAGGGAGGTTACAAAGCCTACATACTAACTATTATCTCTAGGTTGGCACAGACTTGATCTGGATCGATCATTGTAAATTCTCACTCATCGGCCGTCAAATGCTTGTCACTGGATACAACGCCGCTGGTAGACTCACAATCTCCAACAATGAATTCGATGGTCAAACTTCCTGGTCCGCCACTTGCAACGGCCAACACTACTGGACAATGCTCTTCTATGGTGCCGCAGACTACGTTACTCTCGCAGACAACTACATTCATCACTGCTCTGGCAGAGCTCCCAAGGTCGGTGGAAGCTCCGGCGATGCTATCACCATGCACGCCGTCAACAACTACTTCTACAACATCGCAGGCCATGATTTCGATATCGGTGTAGGCGCTGCAGTCTTGTTGGAGGGCAACTACTTCCAATCTGTCACGACTCCTATCACAGCTGCTTCTTCCTCGGCTGGAGGCTCCATCTTCACCACCGCTTCCGGAACCGAATCATCTTGTACCACATACCTCGGCCGTGCTTGTGTTGCAAATGCAGTTTCAAGCTCGGGAGCCATGCCAGGTTACGGTACCACCGCCTTCTTGGCCACCATCAAGACCAAGGAAAGTGGCTATGTTCCTGCTGCCATTGCTGCTTCTTCGGTCCCCGCTTATGTCGTGGCCCATGCCGGTATTGGCAAGCTCTAAAGAGAGGGTTCTTGAACTCTTCGGTTCGTAGAGTCCATTACTTTCGCTCTCTTTCGCCTTTTGAAACGGGCTCATTCTTGAATCTACAACTTGTCTTGTACATACTACTGTTGGAACTTCTCGCTGTACATATTTGAAGTTCTTTCTTGGACATAATTTTAGTTGTACATATCTAAAACTTTTATCTTAAAATCTATCTTGTTACCATACTCTAATATCGTTGGTCATGCGTGTTCAAATGATTGCATTTTTTTTTTCTGTATGAAGGTGCTCTGCTAAAGTTCAATCATGCTCTCAACTCTGTAATTATTAGATATCTAGGTTTGTCAACTGTCTTCACCTCGTTTTTTATTCTCCCCGAGAATTGTAAAGCTTCCAACTTGGTCTAGGTACTTGAAGTTGGCCTCGCTTACTCTTTAATAGAATGATCAGGCTGAGGGAGATGGGATGGCCTGAACAGGTCTGGCTTGGCTGAAAAGGAGCCTAGCAACGGAGCCAACAATTGTCATTCGCGCTTCGAGTCTGTTATCCATGGACGTTAATGGTGCGGTTTTTTCCAGGAAACACAACTCTAGAGTTTTAGGTGGTCGGTGTAACGGGTGAATATATTATGTATTACTGTATTCCTATAGTTATATGGCTGAGCCGTCTCTTATCACAATCATTCCTCTTCCCCTCTCATTACTTCACCCGCTCCTTCCATTACTCATTCAGGCTTCAGCTTTCTGTGTAGTCAAGATTTCATACTAACGAACACCCTTATCATCTCTTGACAGCCGTGGTAGTCGAGGCCTTGTTTGTGCCCCTCTCAACCCTCCTATTGATGACGCTATTGATGGGATGTGCATCTTCATCTAGATGCTTCACTTTTACATTCTCCCTCTTGGTAACTTTCTTCACCAGACTCCCCACTGCGGTTCCGACTTTCTCTTTCGCAGCCGATCGTGCCATCTTTCCAGCGGAAACGTATTTTTGTGTGGGGGATTGCGATTCTCTTCCCATTCTAGAGGGTGTTTGAAATGGGGAGAGTAGAAATCTAAAAGCTATCTGAGATTGATCTGCGGTGAAGGAGCATACAATTGTAATCCTGGGGGGGGAGCACAGGAAGATTGTCAAGGAGATGGAAATCCCGTAATGTTGAAAGTGAATAAATACATGGCACAGATACCCCGAGTACTTATACCCCACTCACCTCGCCTCATTGTTAACCAACAAGGTCGTCCAACACGGTCTCGTTGTAAACACCGCAGGTGTGGCTGCGACCTGAAAGGTCTTGTGAGAACAACGCATTCGGGTCTATGGTTGAGGTTGGGTTATGGTCGGCAGTGTGGCTAAGATGCTTGTGTGCGTTTGATATCGCTTGGTGGTGAGCCTCGGTATGGTGTTTACAACATCTTGATATGGCTATGTCTGTAGTAGGAGATATGGTCGGGTGTGTAACGTGTAACGTGTAATCAAGCGATACGATGGGTCTGTACTCGTTTATGGATATTCGGGTATGAGACAAATTTACTACATGTATAGGGATATAGAAGTATCTCGTAGCCAGTACCCAGAGTTGGGAATGTTGGATATATCCTAAACTGATCAGGTATTCAAAAACATACACAATAACACTTTAGTTTTTAATATCCAATACCTACCTATTCAGCGTGATCAATAGAATGACTAGTGAAAATATTCGAAACACAGTTAGACAGTTCGGATGTTGTGACCTTTCTCAGTGTCCCAGATGTTTCAAAGGAAATATATACTTCAAATGGTGTAGAATGTAGATGAACAAATTACCCAGATAGATGAGATGATCTAGAATGAAAGAAGTACAACTGGCAAGAGATAGATGAGATATTATCACTTCCACAATGAATACGGAATAACAAAGCACGAGCGAGGAGCAAGGAGATCACCTGCAATTACAAATATTGAAACCAATGTTATTGATGAGAAACTTAATTATTACGCATTAAAATATCGTGGTATCGTTACAAACATATATACAGTTTTGTCAACTTTGGAGAAACATAATCTGCCAAATTGCAATGTGTTGTGCAGGTCCTTGCCTGATTCATTTTCATCCCACCCCCATCTCCTGCATCTAAATATCGCTCCGACAGTACCTAGAACGTACCATTGGAATTTTGATACTGATGAGTTCCCCTGTATCCCTCAGCTGGCATTTCTGTTGCGTGAGGTGGTGCATACATCGTCGGACCTGTACCATAGTCCACACCATTTACCTGATGACCATGGGTACCAACGACTGGGGATACAGGAGAATGTCCATATCCTGTTTGTGAACCATAACCTTCGTGGGTTCGTGCCACCATGGTTGCATCCGTAGCATTCGAGGTTCTCACATCGTTGGGAGTAGAGTGGATGGGTAATGCATCAGGCTTTTCTGAGACAACTCCTCCAGCCATGTATTCACCATCGTGGGCTCGTTGACGTTTTGGCCAGAATCTACCACGAGTTCTGCCGGCTGTATAGCCATTGTTGGGAGATGGACCGAATGCCTTTTCTTTTTTGTGGTGCTTAATGAGAGCTAATTCGACAAAGAGTGAAATAAAGAAGAAAACCCTAATTTCAATGTTAGTGTGATTTTCTTACAATTCCTCAATTGATGCTCTGCACATGAAATGAAGGGATAAAAATAGAAGGTACACTTACGCAGCGACGATTGAAACGGCAAAACAAGCTGTGTTCAATCTACAGCTGTCAGACAAGCTGGGTAGAGTTGTATCTCTCAAGGCTCCCACTCCGGAAAGTCTTTGATTTGTGGCCGCGATTCCATCACCCAAAGGTGTGTACACATATCCGGAACATGATCTACCATGTCTAGTAGCATAAGCTACATAGATAAATGCGCCAGTGAAGCAGAAATCGAGGATAATAGCGATGATGGAAAAGAACATCAAACCGGCGACACAGCAGAGAAGACTGAGTCCAAGAACTGTATATAGTGCACCTGAACCCGAAATACCTTCGACGGCTTTGATGTAGGTAGCGATAGGAAGATTATTGGTAGAGAGTTTGGCGAGGAAATAGGCAAAGATTCCAAGAATGATAACCGAGCAGCAGAATTCCACGCCGCGAAGAAACCATTGAAGGGCTTTGAGTGCTACGCCGCCGCCTCTCATGATGAAATATGTGAAGGTTTATGTTCCTTTTTGGGTATATGAAGGGGTAGATGGGGAAAATATCAGATCAGATTAAAAGAAGAAATTGAGGACAATAAAGATGTTAAATATGGAGTTGAGAGAATGTGAAGTGAGGGATGACTTTATGAAGATCTGCATATGATGTCGTCAAATGGAGCCGGTTGATCATAAACTATAAATCGAACCACTCGTCAGCGGGAACCAATGATGATAAGTAGATGGTGTAACCTTCGTCAAGAAAGCCTAATCTTCGTATAAGATTTCTTTGTTTTACTGTCTTGCTGTTTTGCTCGGTCCTCCAATTCTTCACATGCCCCTCGTTTTCTTTGTTTACTTGTGTCTTCACTCTCCAATGCAGGTTTGAGTAACTTTGGTGGCTGTTCTCAATTGCCGCCAAAACGATAACGGCCGAGATCATTTGCATTAAGTAGGTACAGAAAGTAGCCACTTTTGAAACTACTCTGAGAAATAGTCCAACACAAGATCTAGAGCTGTTCCTTTATTCGCACGAGAGGACGAAATGGAAGATCTTGTGCCGGTTCACGGGATGTGTCGATTCCGGTGAAAGTATTTGAGAACATCAAGACTCCAGAAGTGATATCCCAGGAGCTTTCCAATTGCAAGACTTGGTATCCGTCTTCCATTCGTTGTCATCAATGTAACGTTTTGTCTTCCAAATGCTTGGGAACATTGATCGAGACCTTTTTGACGTCATTGCCAAAGTTTTTAGGATCAAGGGATCAAGGGATCACAACCACGATTGGTGATTCGTCAGTGGCGGAAGGGGAAAGCTAAGCCAAGCCACAATTGAAAACAGGTTCTTTCTCAATCAGTCACGTGAAGCATTAGCACAGCCACTATGGGATGGAGTTCTCTCTCAGCATCTCTAGATGAGATCTGATCGCCGATGACCCCAAGGTACCTGGGTATGTTTATGAACCTCGGGAATTCAACTAGAGAGACATGGAAACAGGTAGCGCAGCGTCAACCGAAACCCTTATTCCTTGGAAGATCTGAGCACTTCAATGACATCTACAACTCAATAATTACCTACCGAGGTATACTTCGTACACTGGTACATCACTCATAGAATTATATGAAAACTGGTATACCTAGGGGCAAACTATGAAGCATAACGAGTTGAACTCTGGTAGCTGCATTTTGGTTCATTGATTATTAGCCGTAAACTCTATTTCCATAACATTGTTACATTGAAAATTATGTACCCTCCATAGAACATTCCAAACCACGCAATAGATTCAAACTGTAGCTCGGATGTTGGGTACCGGCATTGAGACGAATGTCATCTTGTTCTTTCAAATACAATATATGTAGATACAATATATCGTCTTAGAATGTATTATATGACGTGAATGGCTCCCAAATCCAGGTATCCTAACGAGCCTAAGATGTCTCCCATCCACCTGACTCCATACTGTCTTCTCCTCTCATGCTATCCACCCCCTTTAACCTCAATTCTTCTTCTCTCGCTTCATCATCTCTACCTTTGCGTTGATAACGCTCTTCCTCAACTGCATCGCATTACCAATATCATAGAATGCCACATACATTGCATATATAGGCAAGAAAACCCACAACGTATTGAAGAATACCAAGTAAACCCATTTAAACATAAAATTACTCGTATCCAAGTTCTTACAGCCGATTAACCATTCTGGTGCAAATGTCATGAAGCCTGTTATTCACATACATAGTTAGCATATGCTTTTTCATAATTTCAGAAAATAGGTAAAGCGTGAGGGGAATGACAGAGAAGAACCCCATAAACGTACCACCATACAATTCTCCCGTAGCAAGCACCACCATCCAAAAATTAACTCTCCAATCCTTCTTCACAATCCCCCAACAAATCCAAAGTGCCAAAGGTCCAGCCCCAAGCACAGTCAACAACTCCAAACTAACCACTGTCAAATCTACACCCGCCCATCTTCGATCCGCTTGCGCATAAACCATCCACAATTTACTCGCCCAGTTATCCGCATATTGTGCTCCATATACATATTCACTTGTGCCCAAGAAATTAGATAGAGCAACTGGATGAGCAATTGATGAATCGAAGGGGGCGCGAGAGAAAAAGCAGTTGTAGAGGAAGGAACCTTCGAAGATGGTGTGGATGAGGAAATCAAAGAAGTGCCAGATGAAGAGGATGCGGAGAGAAGAAGGGGTAGTGGGTGCAAGAACGCGGATGGAGAGAATGTAGGAGGATAGGAGGATCGCGACGACGCCAAGGAGAGAGAGGATGGTGGTTTGATCTATGTGCTCCATTATGGAAGACATGGTAGATGTAGAAGACGTGTAAAAGTCAATTGACTCAAATCCAACTCACCAATCTACCAAGATTTGGAGAGAGAACCTGCAAATGTGAGGGAAAGATAGTTGAAGTTAATGGACACCTCGATCCCACTGTCGGTCTATAGGTTTGAAAGCTCCAGCTGAAGATGAAGCTTTGACAACTTTCACGATTTCACGGAATACGGAGTACTTTAATCCGTAAACGTGGTCGGAGCAGAAGCTCCCCTCAACGTGACGTCATCAAGGAACCCCGATGATTGTGTGGAGAAGTCCAATTTTCAGGTCAGAACCTGTATCAACCAGCTCTTTAACCTTCTAGCCAGAACTATGGCTGTACCATTGGATAAAATGTGGTCGGGGTTTTGGCTAAGACAGGCCGAATTGAGGGGGTAAAATTCACATCGAAAACACAAAGCATAAGACAATTTTGTTTGAATATCATAAAAGCATCATTATTATGAGGGTATTGAGACCACTAATACATGAGCTTCAAGCTCATCACTTCCCCATGAATCCTCCCATCCATCCCATACGCCGAAGTCATTATGATAGAATGCAGAGAGTCAGATCCGTCGAGTTGAAGAATCTAGTGCTTAGCAGCCTCTGTAAAAATCATTAGTACATGTTTACAAACGTGCAAAGGTGAGAAAGCTAAAACGTACCCTTGTGGACATCAGCCTTGGTGCTGTGTCCAGACTCATCGGCCTTGTCCTTGATGGCATCGACACCAGCACTGGCGCGGGTGGAAAGGCTGGCATCGCTGTCCTTGGCGACTTGCTTGTTAGCCTCCTTGGAGGTGGTGGCAGTAGCCTGTTGAACGGTCTCTGCAACGTAGTTGGCTCCTTGCTGGGAGATTGTTAGTATGGTGTTGTAGGGTTGAGAAGAGATCCTTAGAGCATATTATATGTTGTGAAGACTGAGAAGAGGTGGTTGGATCGAGAGAGTGGAAGAGAAGTACTTGCCTTTAGGGACTCCATTTTGAAAGTTTTGAAAGTTGATTTAAGGGTTTGGTTTGGAGTTGTTTGTGTTGTAGTGTAGAGTTGTGAGTTGTAATGTTGATGGAGAAGAAATGGAAAAGTTGGGGAGAAGATGAGGTTTATATTCTGGTCCCTTTCTCCAAAAGGAAGCTAAGACCGAATTCGCTCCTTGCCGTGATAGCTCTAGTACGTCATACGTAGAATGTGCTTGGTTGGCAGTTGCTTCCAACTAGCAAACAAAGGGAGGGGCGATTCACCTTCTGACGGTGGGAAGAAAGAGCTCATGCTCCATCTGCTACAACAACTGAGCTTCCATTGTTTACAATGACGTAGGAGCTTGTTGATCCGAGCCAATCAAGGTCTGCAAATTTCAAGCCTCCTTACATAGTACGCAGCTCGGAGACATTGCCTGTATCAATTAAAGTAGGTAATGGTGTGGTTGAGCCATTCAGGATCTCTATGAAGCTAAGCCATAAATGGCACAAGTGTCACCATAATGAATTCTGATTGGTAACCCTCTGTGGCTTGACCAACTTTTTCCCATACCAAATTGACCAAGTTGGGGGGGATGAGCCATGCGCCGTGCGGATAGCTTCGGGTCGGAAAGGCGATCCCCCGCCATGAGTGGCTAATAGGTTCATAGGCTGTATCACAGTAGTTCTCATACGACGATACGAATACTGATTCTAGAATTTGATGTGCATATGAAGCACAAAATACTTGCTTTTCGAGAGGGGAACTCATGCTAAGGGGTTTCTGGACTGCTCTATGGAAAATGTTACTCCACTTTTGCTTGATCTCGTGTCCATCAAAATCAGTACCATGGTGGAATGGAAATTAGGAATTCCATCCTGTTCTTTTCCATATGCTCCCAAACCCCGATATCGATGCTTGTTCTCGATGATCGATCTCGATCGCCATCTTTTCCATGATTCTTTCTTACCTGCAATGCGTTGCGTACTTGTATTATCATGTGATTCTCTCCATGTGGCCTCCCATCGAGACTAAATTATTGCATGGTGAATTCATATTAGACAATGAGATCTAGATATAGAACGGGGCAAAAAGGGCTTGCAAACAATGTGGGTGCCGGGTATGAATAGAATGATATATATGGTGATAGATATATGGTAATATGGTTCTTTGATATATTGGATTGGATTTTGAGCTATACTGTTCGGTTGTTGTTCACAGATACATTTCATTATCCAGTTTGTTAACAGAATTGCCATTCCTCTTCTAAGACGAATACTACTCGAGTGATGAATCAAATGTCAATCTATACTATCAACCAATAGGACTGACTGGATACCCCCCCCCCCCCAAAATGCTATGTGTTTTTGCAAACCAAACAAACACCACCAACCAGCCGACGAACCTAATTGAGTTTTCCAAAAAGATACCGCTTTCGGAAAAGAGGCAAATAGAGCAGAGAAAAGAGCCGCCACCAATACGGAGGTATGTGGAATAAGTTATGTGTTACACCGCTTTCGTTTTGCCATCGAGGGAATTATTCTGCCCATACAAAATGATACTGGCTTACGAAGGCAGTATAATGTAACTTATGCCATATGCCTCCGTACCTCCATCATGTCAAAACTTTCAGTAAAACCATATATTACCATAAATCACCATATAATCCACCATTATATATATTAATCTCTTTGTATTTAGCATTTATACTGCTTTAGAGCCTTTCTATCCTTCTATATCAAAGATCTCATTGTCTAATACGAGTACAACATTCGAACTATATCACTATACATCCCACCATATGACCACAAAATTTAGCCTAATAAGGAGGTCCTCCATCATGACAAAACTTTCAGTAAAAACCTCGGCACGATGATTGTCTTACAGGCTCTAAAAATTCGATCTTCATCGTATCTGTGGAATGATAATATCATTTGATGAAAATCACACGGGAAATTTTTCACCTTCGTCGCCGCTCACAGTCAAAACATGAGTGATTTTAGCGCATTGTATCGGGCTTGGTAATATGATCAGCATGTGGACACTTTGCCTCCCCGAGTCGCCTCCCTGAGTTGAGACTTTACAGTTCTCCGTTGCAATGATTTCAATCATGACTTAGAACTTTACCTACCGTGGAGATATTTCCTGTATCTCATTCCTGTTGCTACAGTCCATTGTCTATCTTCACCAATGTTTGTGTCGGTACCTTACCGCTCCGTCGACAGGTTCACTTCACACCGTGTTATTACATTTTTGGTTCCCATTGGAAGATAGAGAAGCTTATATCCTCAAGATTTCACCACCTTGTTTAATACCACCGCGGAACAACTCTTCAACGACCTTTCCTTCTAGTAATGTTGCCTGCACAATCCCTTCTACGTGTTTAGGTTCCACTCTCCCATACCAGATTCCACACCCGGCTAACGGATGAGCTTCACCGTCTTTCGTCTTTGTATGAGGCGGAATATATAATATAACGTTCCCAGCAAACTTGTGTCCTCCAATATGACTTATAGACCCGATCCTTGCAGTATTTCCAATTGGTTCGATTGGTCCTTCTAATCGTTCTGTAGAGCTCCCGTCACCTACTTCCACCGCACCGTGCAAGACCTGTACATCTTTCGCTGATAGGACTCTTTCAAATTCAGCTTGCAAGATTGGAGCTAAAATTCCACATCTCACATCTCGTCCTCCGTGTCCGCAGATCAACACTAATATATCTTTCACGTCTTTCACGGCGGGTAGGAAATCTGCCTGTTCTTTACTTCGCAACAAGCGGTCTTTGTGTATCGGAGATAGATTATCGTGTGCGGGGTGTAGTTTTGTAGGAAGTAAATATCCTTTCACCAGAGCTTGTACAGAATCAAATGATACTCGCGGGAGGAAAGGTATATATTTGAAGGATGGGACTATATAGGCAGAAGTCGTTATAATTTCGGGTCGATGTGAGGCAACGGTAGAAGGAAAAGATGAATTTGTAATAGAAACGTTGTTGTAAGGCTAAATAGAATACTGTTAATGGCAGTTCAACTGAAGGAAAGGTGATCATACATCACTATACATCCCGCCGCGGCCCATCAACTCCTTAATGTCCGCAGCGAGATTATCCCCGGAATTTTCTTCCTCAATACGAGAAGGCCAATCTGGCTTCCCCGTGCATATCAGAACTTGTTCAGCATATGCGGCCATTGTTCCGTTGAGTGGCTTTGAATGGTCTATCTTGAAGCCTTCTGGCATCTCGGGGTTCTCTGCGCAAGAACATGTTGGTGAGGGGCATTTTGGTATGGTAGGAAATGGCGGAGATTTGTGAGTTTGAGAAATATACCGAGGACTGAGCAAAGTATAACGAAGACAAGATGTACGCCAAATTGGCCTACCAAACAAACGTAATGACATAAAGACGTATCAATACCTGTTCAAAAGAAAAGAAAAGAAAACAAGACATTGCAATTCTCCTGGATCAAGATAAATGTCTTATCTAACCTTGCTGAAATCCTTATCTCCGCGCACTGCTCCGCATTCAATCCGCAGGCTGAGATACTATCTCCAGGAGGACGGAAACATCGGGACACCAAATCCACCAAGAGAACTATATATTGATAACACTTGTATTTTGATACATTTTGATACTTCATAATGATATCAATTGCTGTTCAAAATATGAATAATATAGATCGTATTATAGATTCGAAGCTAATAGATACACTTGATCAACTTTCAAGCGGAAACAATGATTGTCTGAATTGGTATCGCGTTTTGAAAAGAGTGTATATTGTCGGTGTCCCTATTTTTCCGACCTGCGAGAGACTACCTACCCAGACACACCTGCCTATTTGGGAGCCTTTGAGGTGACTAGGTAGGTATCGAAAGTCTATTAAAGTGTTTGAATGAGGTGCATGTTGATCGAGCTTAATTAATTGAATAAGGCTGAGTAGGGCTGTTACATTTCAATAATATACTTGAATGGCCGGATAACGCTCGGTATCTGAATGTCTGAGCCGACACGATAATAAACTTGACATTGGATGAACACCATACCTACCATGCTGAATGTTTGAGTAGTGCCGTATCATTTGATATTCTGTCAAGCAAAGAAAGCTAATAAATATTTTGATCTTTCCAAATCCACATGTTTCATTTGTCGTCGGTTTATCATTCAATTGACGCGGAAGATTTCAATAGACATATGGAAGATCAAATTCCGACGGGGTTTTCTCAGTCGGAGCAGTCAGTCGGAGAGACTAATCTGGTGATCCGTTCGAGTCCGTATAAGAACTCAACCAGCCAACGGATAACTAGCTACTTTAATAATATACCTAGCACTCTTATCCAATTTATATCCACAGATGAACATCAAAAGCAAGGATTACCTACTAAGAAGGCGTAGCGTTGAGTATGAAACTCGACTACTTCTTAACTTCTTAACTTCTCGACTTCTCAACTTCTCAACTTCTCTACACACTTCTTCTCTACACCTCACCTCTGTGCTGAGAAAACCAACGAAATAAAAACAATCAAGGGCCATCGACAGTCCGTACCTTTTATATCAAAACTCTGAAGGTATTTGCCAATGTTACCATAAGTCGAGACATCTGGAATATGAGATAATTATTAGTGAAATCTTCTATATTGCCACACTTTCTTGCCGTACCTTTTATGCCTCGTTGCCTGATACATTCACGCTTTCCTCGTGTATCTGCTCGTTGCTATAAGCGACCAGGAAACTTTCTGATACTGACAAACTCGCTACTATTGTCCACGACAGGTAAAGCAGCTGTCCGTACAAAGATACTTTATAGCCCGTTTGTCCACGGTGCGTCTTCACAACCGATCTCTACAACCACATCTGAAAGTAGAACGACCATGTCCGACTCAGAAAATGACGAAGACTTAAAGAAAGCCATTGCTCTCTCTTTGGGAGCAACTTTATCGCCGGTTCCAATCCGTGAGAAGAATGTTGTCGATCTCACTACAAGTACAACAGCCATGTCCGACTCAGAAAATGACGAAGACTTAAAGAAGGCTATTGCTCTATCAAAGAGTCAACCAACCATGTTCGATTCCGAAAATGACGAAGACTCAAAAAGAGCTATTGCTATCTCTCCAGAAGAAACCTTATCCTCGGCCCCAATCCATGAGAATAAGGTTATCGATCTCACTAATTCAGATGAAGATGACGATGACCTTGACGCGCCTGTCGCAACACATTTCAAATTCCCCAGAACTAATTCTGTTCTCAACACATGCACCGATGCTGAACCCAGTACCAGTTCTCAAAGTGAGTGTCGATCTCGCATCCTAAAAATGCGTATCCTATGATTTTGATACTGACTCCAGTTGTAGCATCCAGCCAGCCAAGCAGCACGTTATTCAATGGCCTGACTCGTAAACAAATGGAGGAAGAACGCTTAGCAAGAATTCAACAAAGAAGCAAAGAGCCAGATGCCACTTCCAAGAAAAGAAAGGCTTCGGTTTCGTCGCCGACAACCTCCCTAAATGATCGTCGCCATCCAAAAGTTTCTCGATCAGAACCCATATCCCATCAAACGACAGGCAAAGGTAGGCAGGTGGAGTCTACAACTCAAAACTCCACCGACAAAGGACTAGATAACGCACTCCATCCATCATCTGGCCTCACAGAGCCAAATTCCGAGATTGATATTGAAGCAATTATCCCAGGAAAGCTATCCGGACGTCCCAGATCAGAGGGTGACATATCAGGTACCGGCATTCAATTTCCTCTCGGGGTTGTTAAAAAGACCTGGGCGCAAGGGTTTCCCCGGGAGGATGACATTAAAATTGAAGAGGTTCTTCAGAGTTCAACCCTTGAACATGCTATTCTAGGGGCTTTTCAGATAGATTCTGATTGGATCATATCGAAGATCCAGCCTTCTACAAAAGTCATCTGGGTCTTGCAGGCAAAGACTGAAGCCGAAGTGAGTAGGATTTTCTTTACTTTGCAGGTTCATACCAAAAAACGCCTCTGTTCTAGTTCTCGGTCTATCTATAACATCTTTCTCTTCCTTTCCAGGACAATAGTAAAGATGTGATCAAGTGGTCCTTAGTTCTTTTTTGTACAACGAACCGAGGATGGAAAAGATTACTTTAGTAGACAGAAGCAATAGAACTTTCCCAGGCACCAAAAGAGGCCTGTTACGACTCATATGGCTGATCAAAACCATCTGGCTTCCCAAGAGATTTATCAGATGTATATCTGGACTTCTTCACGACAGTTTGGAAGTCGACGGTGTGTTTCAAAAATTTCAGGGATCCAGCTGTAACGGAACAGTGAACTCGCTCGATACGGTGGGATCATTGTACGTATCGAATTAGCTTTGAACTTGAAGCTTGATTATGATATCAATTTACGAAGTTCGTGGCTTTACAAATAGCAAAAGTTTTCGGATCTGAGCTGCAGTCAAGACTTTTGGAAACTGCGATCCAGTATCAAGACCATCAGTGTCTGTTCCGGCTTTTGTTTCTCTACTATCGAACTTTGGGGGATGAAAACCATGCACTGCACTTCAAATGCAACTTTTCGCTGACATCTTGTAGAAAATGAACTTCAGGTCATTGACACCGGAGACTTATCGATTTTGCTTTCCTCCAATGGAAGGCAATGTCAACATCATGCACTCGAAACTTCAAATCCTGGCACATCCTACGCATTTACGACTAGTCATACCCTCGGCAAATTTGACCCCATATGATTGGGGAGAGAGTGGTGGGATTTTGGAAAATGTGAGCGCCTAGCTTTGATGTTGGGATTGAACTGATAAAAGATGGCCAGGTCGTGTTCTTGATCGATCTCCCAAGGTTACCCAATGGCGAGAGTGCTTCTGATGACCAGTTAACACCATTTGCACAGGATTTACTGTACTATCTTCATGCGATGACTCTGGCACCTCGAACAATCGAAAGCCTCAAAAGGTTTGATTTCTCCAATACGAAACATTTAGCATTCGTACATTCGATGTTTGTCCTTTCCATAATTCCTCTTCAATTGATTGCATTTAACCATAGTCAGAGGAGGTTCTCATTTTGGCACGGAATTACAAAGAACCGGCTATCCGGGGTTAGGTAGTCGTGTAAGGAGCCTTGGTCTGCATACAGATCACCCCTTGGAGATTGAATACGTAGTAAGCTCACACCCATTCAACAAAATATGAGGCTGCTGTCGGAGTCGGACACTAACATCAACAGACAGCGTCCATGGGCAATCTTGATGACCGATTCCTCCGAACAATGTATTTGGCAGCACAGGGTAAGCATGCTATTCTGACATCTGCATCATTTCCGAACTTTCCCCAGACTTTAATTTATTACCTACCTTATCACGCGGATAATAGCATCCGCTGGGATGAAGTGGGTCCCTAATACGAGCACCCATTCTTGTCGCTTCTTGCCGATAAACGGGACTGAATTATTGTACTAGGCGATAATGGGTTCAAGGAATACAAGTGGAGAACTGAGAAGCCCGCAAGGTCCAAGATGGAGACCGTGATGGAGACTCAGCTTTCAGAAGAAATTGGGCGCAGGTTTCGCGTGTATTTTCCCAGGTATTTTATTCAATCTTGTACGTCAGAATTGGTTGTTAAATCCCCGTTTACAGCGAACAAACAGTCAAAGAAAGCAAGGGTGGCACAAATGTAAGAAGAGTCCTTGATGGTTACCAGGATAAGAGGTCATTGACTTTACGATGTACAGGCTGCTGGCACGATTTGCTTTCGATCAAAATGGTATAATGCAAGTGCTTTTCCAAGGGAGCTCATGCGCGATTGTCAAAGTCGCAGAGAGGGATTATTGATGCACAACAAAGTGTTATTCGTAAGATCACAGAAAAGTCAAAAAAGTCCACAGCCCATCGCATGGGCATACGTTGGAAGCGCAAATCTCTCGGAAAGTGCATGGCAAGTCTTCCGTTTTCACATAATACTTTTTCCGTTTATCGCGGTGTGCTGCTCGGGCAGAATGATAGCTAACCTTACCAATTAAAGGGGCCGTCTGGTAAAGGACAGAGTAACAAAGGAGCCCAAGTTGAATTGCAGCAATTGGGAATGCGGTGTTTTGTTCTCCGTCCCCCTCACCGATCTGAATGCACCGGCCGCTGTCCCCAAATCGGGCATGCCGACTATGGAGGCTTTTGATGGGTCTATCCCCGTACCCATGGTTTTCCCGGGTAATGTGTATGGATCGAAGCGCCCCTGGTATTACAGCGAATACCCTTAATTAAGTCA